TCACCGTGCTCACGAGGGCGGGGCCCACGTGCGTGGCTTTCTCCTGCCGCTGTACACACGTCTGAGTCAAATTGTATAAAAGCATTGACTTTGCAAGGAACGTGCGCTCACGATAAATTATATGAAATTATATTGAAAATTGCCTTTGACATATATATAAAAAAAACTTTGGCAATTTTACTAATTTTATAAATGTAGTGCAATTTTGAAAATTGGAGATTTTCCAACAATCTTGGAACATTGCCAACATATCGCCAATTTTGTAGACTAAGTAACCTTCATATTGCGTTTCATAAACTTTTGGAAATATTGTATTTAAACACCTAAATTATAAACACAGCGTAATTGTCTCCAGCAAAGTTTAAATTTAATTTTGCATTTTTATGGGCCCAATTGCAACATTGTAAAACATTGCCACATGTTACATGTACATATATTTTCACGCAAAGCAATATGAAAGTAATACGGAAGGCCTGCTCCCAACGCTGGTGCGACGTTGACCGTTGCAATCGCGACAAACCAACATCTGGCCGCGTGGCTCGGTGGTAGAGCGAGCGGCTACCAATCAGAAAGTCGCGAGTTCAAATCCCTGTCGGGGGGTTGTGACTCAGCCCATCATCCCTCCGGGGCCAATAAAATAGGCACCACTGTGTGTGGAGGGAGATGTTAACATTAGTTGTTCTACGAATGAGTTTCCCACAAACACGCAAGCCACGTGCAAGGACAAAGACACAAGGCTTTGTGGACTCAGCGATGCGAGCGAGGAGCACCTATGAAGGCCAACACAGCACATGAAGGGCCAGGTGACCAGCACTACTCTTCATCTAATCAATGTTGATGTTTATAAATCGCATAAAGTACTTAAACAAAAACTGAGGCCCACTGAGCTGTATAGCTCTTCTTCAGAAGCGACCTGGTCAAAAAGGATAGCTCAAAGAAGTGGCTCATCACGTTTTAATGTAATGCAGCAGCCAAATACTCTATAAGCGGATGTTGATTCTAAATGTCGAGGGAAAAACCAGAGGACCCAGAAAAAAATCCACGTGACCACGGGGAGAACATGCAAGCTCCAAATATACAGGTGCCAGAGTCATGCTGAGCAGACCTAGGAGAAGTCCAGGACCATTTCAGACATTTATCACCGATGCTGGAATCGAACCCAGGTCATCAGGTTCGTAGCGTAATGAGTTAATTACTGCACCACCTCTCGCTACGCTACAAACAAGGACACCCGCACACATGCAAACTACCAGGAGCAATCGTGTGTGTGTGTGTCGTCACGTGACGAGGGTATTGGGTGAAAGGTTGAAGGTGGGAGGGTCTCGGTGTAAATCTGGGAATAACACAAGCCGAGAAAATGAGAAGATGCGCATCAATGATTCATGGCACTCAAGGTTAGCCCCGAGCTATTCAGTGTTTCTCTGCCCTTTACCATCAGCAGGTCCCCTAGGCCACCTGCAGCCCGCCGCTATCTCTTCTCCTCCCATAACCTTCAGCTGTCAGCGGCAGCGCTCCTGCCCCGAGCGGTTTTTATCGGCACCTACACCCCTCCTGCCGTAGCCGCCAGCGCCATTCCGCTGGCGCGCGTCCACGGCGGCTGCCAGAGCGAGCCGTGCCACGCGCATCCCGCGGCCCGTCACCTGCCAACCGCTCCCTCCGCAGCCTCCCCTCAAGCTGCCACCCCCAGATCTTCTTCCGGCACACAGGGGCCCTCATCAGCGAGGCAAGCGGCGCTTCTGTCCAAAGGTAGCGCTGAGCGGCAGACGAAGCAGCAGCAGCAGCAGTATTCCCTTCTGCCTTCGAATTACGCTCAACAAAACAAAGGTAATGTTTATTATTAGGTGCTCCTGTGCAATCCGGCCAGGTGGCTCAGCAGGACAGCCAGCGGCTCACAATCAGAAGGATTCGAGTTAAAATCCTGGTTGGGGGGGATCGGTCGATAAAATAAATACCACTTTGTGTGGGAGAAGTGAAGAGTGCTTATCTGGTGTAAAAACTCATCCCCGTCATAGGAATGTGGAATTTCCACCACTGGCTCAGGGCTGTAAATGGGAAATGAGCACCGCCTCGATGATCATATGAGCAGGAAATTACCTGAAACTGTGTGACGCAAAACACCAATCGGAAAGGGTATGTGTTGATAAAATGGGAGAGGCTGCAAACGCAATCGCCACCCACATTGATGGCCCTATCAGTGTGACCATAAGAGATCTTAGAACCACTTGGGATGAGGAGGAATGACCACAATCCCATGGCCAGGCTAATCCTCCGATGAGTTAACATTCTCCGCTGGACCACACAAAATGAGGCAATAAAAACACGACCGCCTCACGTCGCAACTCTGAGCACCATAGCCCGAACGGATTGTGGCACGTGTCACTCCGCAAAGTAGCGAGGCGTATTGTGACATCACGAGAGATTTACGTTACTACGACTATTATTACCACGCTTGTTTGCACCAGGAAAGCCTCGCCGAGTCTCACAACTTTTCTTCGGGAGGATGCTGCCAGTTGTCGCAGTACGGGGTGATATTGCTACGTGTAATCCCAATTTTGTATATTTAAGGTAATATTTCAACATTGGGATATTTCGCAAACACCATTTTCATTGTGTGCGAGGGTTTTTTTTTTAACTACGGAAGGAAACCGGGGAACAATGCAGAACGAGCGAGAGAATAGGGGCAGTTTATGCAAACTCCAAACAGACCGTCACCCAAGCAGGAATTAAACCCAGGGCTCTCTTGCTGGAAGGCACAAGTGCACATTACCATCCAATTATAAGAGCAATAATCACACTACTAAAGCAAAAGCACAACTGAGTGGACACATTTAAACACAAAGGCCCTGCACATCAGAACGAGAAGCGAATCAGAATGTCTCGGTGGCCTTGAGCACCACGCAGTATTTGTTGACGGAGACTTCTTTTGAAAGAGCGCTCCTTATCTGGGGGGCGCAGCGCGACAGAGCCAGCCAGCTTGTAAGGCAAAGGGCTCGTTCTGTGTACGCGAGATAACGTGCTATCTTCTCGATGGGCGCTGCTCACTGGTCGGAGAGGGCCTGTCAAAGGCCACAGCTGGAATATGGCCCCACACACAGCACATGTTGCTTTTCCCACGCATCTTGCAGCAATTAATGGCATTCCTTTGGAATGACCACAGCTTTGCAGCTGATAAGTGGCAGGAATGTGTCCACGATCATCCTGCCAACTTGCCCATGGGCTTGTCAGCACGTTGGGGTTTGTTGGGCTTTTGAAAGTGGAAAGCAAATTATTGCTTATTTTTGTTTGTTTATCGTGCTATAAATTATTCCCACAAAGTATATGGAGGAAAATCTACTCGTAAGTTTTCTGGCCATTGCTACCCAGAATTTTAAAATGTGAGATGGGGTTTAAAATACCATTCCGCTTAAGGCAGGCATAGCCTAACAACCCTGAAGCTAAGGCCCCTCATTATCTCCGCAGGGTACGGAATGCTGATATTTCCCCAACAGAAGTCCTACCAATTTCCTTGCGGCTCACTTAACTCCAGCTAGAATTTTTGCATGCATTCAGGCGCTTTTTATTGCCCTTTAACACAAAATTTGTCATTTCTAGTTTTGCATCGAACTAGAACCCATGTCCAACAGAGAGGGCCCATACCTATAAACATCTGAAAGTTCACCAGGATTGTTTCAAGCAAAGCTCGACTCTGCCAATGAGACACTGAATGTTCGAAACCGGTCCGGAGCTTTTCATGCGTTGAACCAAGACGTCTGGTCAGCGTGGAAAAGTAGGCCAAATACGCACGAGGCCCTTCCGCCGGCAATGGCACGAGCAAGCGAGCCAACTGCGGGGCTGCGCCTTGTCCTGTTAGCGCACAGTGAGTGCTGCTGCTGCAGGAGCTACAGTAAGTAGAGACAATGCTGCATGAAGCAACTACATACCATATCACTCACACAACCAACATTCTGACTTGGTGTGATTCGACAAATAACACAGCAAACGAACCGCTTCTTTGCTAAATCGACTCCTCCCACCTCCTCGATGAACTGACCCCTCTATGCCTCTGTTAAGTTCTTAAAAATAATGTCTCTTGTCATTACACGCTTTGTCAGCTGTGCAATTAGCTGATAATTAAGTATTTAACCAGCGCACACCAATTACCGTTATACTCCGCTCCGTTAACACCAACGAAAAAAAAACACCGCTTTGGGATGTCAAAAAATTCACATTTTGTTAACACTTTTAAGCGGCAAAGTAAGTTTTAAAACAACTGCCATACTTTGAACACAGTGAACATCGAAGTCACACAATTACAATGTGCTAGCCGCGTCTTCAATTAAAACGTACATTTACATTTGTGTGAGGATATTTTTCATCTCGGTGTACTCTGTCACACAGCATTGCAGGTGTACTTACCAAACACAGTGTGGTGGGTAAAGTGTGAGCATGCACAGATGTTTACACATCGGGGAGACAAATGCGGCCGGGCGTAGAACCAACCACACCACTCCCTTGAAGCATCACGTGCACAAAAGAGATGAATGCACCGGGGTGCGTACAGCTGCCTACATGAAGATTTCCGTTCACATTTTACAACTCAATTGTGGGTCGAGTTCAAGTGTTAGTGTTTGGTTATGAGCCGGTGCCATTGGCAATGGCTTAGGAAGGGATCTGTGGCATTAGGAGAGAACCTGTTAATTCGAGCAGCAGATTTGCAGGATTTGGTGCACGACTCTTTAACGTTGGTTCAGAGAAACGCAGCGGCGGTTCTCCCCCCCCCCCCCCCCCCCGCTGGGTGTAGAGAATTGGGCTCAAACAACACTGGGTGGATTTGCCCAGCGTCTCGAAAATTTGACAACACTGCCACCTGCCGTTCGTTCCGCGTGGCTGTGGCCTCGTTCCCAGGCCAAGCGAATTAGCAACACCGATGGCCAACTTTGTCACTGTGATTATTATTCACTCCGCAAGTAAAACGTTCAATTAAGGCAACAACAAATCAATCGTGTAAACGAGGTACTCACGATGTAGCCTCTTCCAGAGCCCGAATGTGTGGAGATCTGAAAAGATACACAAAGACATTTATGAAACACACGTGCCAACCAACGCAGGAGTGTAGTTACAGAGGACCCCGTTGGCGGGCGTGGTGGGTCAGCGGTAGAGAGCGAGCGGCTGCCAACTGGAAGGTTGCGAGTTCACAATCCTGGTTGGGGGTTAACTCAGCCCATCATCCTTTCCATGGTCGGTAAAATATAAATTATTTTGTTGGAAGGTCACTTTCTCGGGGTTATAAAACGGAGATGTGTTCTGATTTCAATTTGGTTGTCTTTTGTTCCCATTTCTATTCGGTTGTTTTTTGCACGGACTTGTTTTGCTTTATTATCGTTATACTTTATTCAATTGTTTTTTTTAATCATTTTTCATAACCCACGTCAGCCACACTTGCAAATTAAACTCTCCTCGTTTCTTAAGATCTCATCCGGTAAAACAAAATACCAGCTTGAATGCTCTTCTGCATTTCACCGCTAGACTATGGACCCAATTTCAAAGATATAGCGAATTCAAATCGGGTCCATCTTTTTGAAACACCCTGTATATTGCAGACATCCTACCAAGTGAAACCTCAACCATCAGTGCATTCAAGGCCATTCACTGAACCCTGCCATCCACCAGGGTGTGTACGCGGTGACACGTGCGGGGTTTGCACAATCATCAACAGCGAGCAACGTGTGTTGACGGATGGGAAAGTGTGTGCTCACTGCTTTCTTTTGTACAGAAAGGGATTTTTTAAATCTGCAAACATTTTTACATCGGCAAATACGATTTGTTCGAGGCTTCATTGGTTTTACATTTGCATAACCAGTTTAAAGGATCGCCTCTCATTATTACGCAGTGTATTTGTAATTATAATCTTTTGCTTATTTTCATTAAACATTGAGCAAACACATCGCTTAATCCTTTCAATTAATGTCGCACCACGAGAATCGCAACAGAGCGCTGTACTGACGTTCGTCTCGGGCTCCGCGGCGGAGCGAGCAGCTCGCTATCGGTCCACGGTTTTCCCGAGCCCATCATCCTTCTGGGTCGGTAAAGTGAGCACCACTTTGTGGGAAGTCAACAGTGGTCGTCCTATGGAGATACTCGCCCCTACCGTAGGAACGCGTCATCCCCACCAGTGGATTTTGCTCATCAGGGCTGGAGGAGGAGGAGTCGTCACCGCTCACTGTGACGGTCTCCGCACCGATGCCTCGCAGCGGGGTTCAGAGCACTCGCATGAACCCCGTGGCCTCAGCGCCAGCGGCTGGCCCTGGCGACGACCTCGTCACAGCTGGCGAGCCACTATTCTCCACCTCCTCGCGTTTAAGAGGGCTGCACTACCAAGGAGGAAGCTACGAGGACCGACATTAACCCCCGGCTGAGAGCCAAGCAGCGGGAGAACGAGGCAGGCGTAATAGCCGCCTTGAGCTTCGGGGACACGGGCACGGCGATGCATTTCCTGCTCTGGGGCTATTACACAAAGGCTGCATTAAATTGGAATCGGAAAGGGCCCTTTCAATTTCCTGCAGGGTCTGTTCATTACATCCCACACGGACCGAGAGTGCTGTAATGCAGGTTCAAGGCTGCACGTGTCTTTCATCGGCGTCCCCGGCGGACTGCGCAAGCACTCACTGCTCCCACTGCAAGCTCCGAGTGCGTCACGTCACTGTTCACACCGCCCACGAGTTATTTTCTTCCGTCGAGATACAAACGCGAAGCTTGGGAAAACCTGTATAAGCCGGGAGCTACTTTGCATTAATAATACGTTTTACATTTTAAAAACGTTTTTTTCCTGTAGATTGTAGATCAGTGCGCTGCAGAGTTTTGCAACGTGCACTGTGTAGTGCACGGATACGTGGGAAACCGTAGACAGGCGGGAAAGGCAGAAACAGTTGTTGTCAACGATCGCCCAAGCTCTATGATCCTTCACTGGGATGTGATTTGGCCAACTCCATAAACGAGTGTTTATAATTTTTGGGAGGAAATGGGCTACCTGGCCCACGTGTGAGACGGGGGCAACGCTCAATCCTCATACATATGGAAATGAACCCACTTGCTGTACTGCAATCACACCCTGGCAAGCCAGGAAATGGTGACCTGAATGTCCAGGGGGAGGGCGTTTCATGAGCGAGTGCGATCCAGCGACCCTCTGCTGCCTCCCCAGCACTGGGGTCCAGGCCACGTGCAGCACGGCTCACTGGCGCCCGGCCAGTGAGCCTTGCGCTTCTCGGCGCGTGCACCCTGGGGGGTCCCCTCCGGGGGCCTACAGGCCACGTGGCTCACTCCCGACCGTGAACCCCACGCGTGCGCCTTCGAGCGCCGCTCTCTTTGTGACATTCGTGCCTCACAGCGGGAAGGATCTACGTTCGATTCCTGACTCGGGTTTCCTCTGGGTTCTCCGGTTTCCACCCATAGTTTAAACCGCGATCGTTCGTCGATTCCTCCACTCGTCCTACCAGGTTGTTTTGTATCATGCACAGCGTTTAATCACTGCACTGCAGGTCACAACAACTCACCCACTCACCCCATCACTCACCATACTGCATGTCACAAACACTTCTCTTTAATTACCAGCGAAACATCACACTCAAATTGTAAATGTCGTGGGTTTACTCTTCAACACACCGGTGTGCTGAAATAGAAGCTAATTGGCACGTTTTGTTTACGTGACAAACCTCAACTAATTGGTTGTCGGGTGGTGGTGGGGTTTAAAAATTGGTCGCAAAAACCTCCGTGTCAAACCGACTTCTCTTTCTGCTTCTTCCCTTACACTGCTCCACCCATCATCTATTATCCATTACAGCTTCATAGTGCTGTTTGTTACAGGCCCCTTCACATTTTGGTCTTCTGACCCAGTGGTCAGCCAATGTGTTTAAATAATAATAATAATGTCACTGGTGTTTTGGCCAAACAACAACACCAACAGATGATATTGGAATAATGAAACATCTGGTGTTAAAAAACCTGACCAAGACGATATCAATGTGGGTGTAATAGAAGGGTCAAACGTGAGAGATGACGTTCATATTTGTAACCCACTCTTGCCACCGAACCCTTATCGGTAATGGTCAAACGTGCCGCCAATTGTGAGTGGCACTTCACGGCATTGAATAACGCGTTTGCGGTAATTAAATATCACACCATGAAACGGCCTTGGATTGGCGTGGCTAACAATGTGCACGCTCATTAAAGCCTATGCGAGGGGAGGCTAATTGCAGAAACGTGGAGATGGGTTTAGGCGAAGAGGCAGCTCACATTCCAGCTGTGATGGAGGAAGCACATTAGAAGAAATTATCTGAATCAGGAAAAAAAAGCGAATTGAAACAACGTACAAGAACGGAGGAATAACGCGTGAAGCGGCACAGCATTGCTGTTGAGTTTAGGGCACAATGCGTGCGCTTAGATTCCTGGTCCTGCCCAAACAGCAGGAATGTGTGTTCGCCGTTTGCTGCATACATTTATGGTTCGACATAGGCAGGCCGCCCTGGTTATCACCGCGGGTCTGTTAACTGCTAAATATGCACAGCCTGCTTCATGTGCTTCGCAGTAGACGTTAAAAGCTCCGGTGATGTCATTAAAAAATATTAAGCTATTTTCTGCAGGTGTCACATGCTCCATATTTGCCAAATTTACCCACAAATCACTCAATTGAGATACACATCAGCAACACCGCCCCCTACTGTGTAACTAGTGCCGATCATGCATGTGACACACGTTGCCTTCGTGATAGCCTGGGCTATACAAACGGCATGAATAACAAATGTACGAAATTATTAATTGTTATAACGGTGCACGTGATAATTCGGGTCTGTACACATTGTCATATCACGGAGAATATCATTCGCTTCCCCTTTTGGACGGCAATCAACCTGTGGGGCGGAGGGTGCGGCGATAATACTGGTGCAGGAGAATGTAGAATTCGCGCGGAGAACATCGGCGCCACGTTGTGGCGACAAAACCCACACCGGTACGCAACGTGAAAACAAACACGTGCCTTACGAAACAACGCTTTTGCTCGCAAGCGTGGCTGTGTCCCGGGCGCAGCGCCGCCACAAGGTGGCAATACCGTGCAGCGGGTGCCGTGCGCACGCTCGGCCTCCTCCCTCTCCGCCGCACAGCGCGGCGTGACAAACTGAATGCAACCGCGACACCGCTTCGCAACTACGGTCGCCACCTGCCCGGGTTTGACCCGGACAGCTGGGGGGGAACTTGCGTTCGGGCGGCAGCAGGCATTGATTTGCGCCGAGATCTGGCAGCTGTACTGGGCTGAATTTTATTGGAGTGAACTGCACAGTTTGGATCGGTCTGGGCTGTGAGAAAAGGTAGCAGCTCTGACACTCGATCATATTCTTGTCAAATATGAGCTCATCTTCTTATTATGTTTGCAAGTATGTGCTAAGGCCGGTACATTAATGCCCATCAGCATTCCTGCGGGATTGGAACTCACAGCCTCCCGTTTGTGAGCTCTACCACTGAGCCATCTCTCATGCATTAAAGTTAATAAGAAACTCACACAGGCTTCACACTGAGCACTGTATGGCTTCTTATATTCCACCTTTGCTAGAACACTCAGGATATAACTTGTACCATAAACCCGCAGGCACGTGCACAAGTGCACATACGACGAGCAGAGTGGGAGTTCTCAACCTGTGCTCTGCAAGGCCACTGGAAGCTCTCCGCGGAACTGCTGCAAACAGAAACTGTTTTGTTTCACAAAAGACTGCAATTTCGGTCCTGAACATTGTGCAATGATAAAGATATTTTTCACAAATCACTGGTTTCCTGGCTTTTAAATTAAGATTTTAAGTCAGTTACTTGGATTAGTTTTTACTTTGCAAAACATCATTGGTGCACGGAGATCCATGGGTCCAGTTGCTGGGAACCACTGATATAGAGCGCAAGGTTTCAAACACCATAATTAGAGCACTGACCAGCATAATGCTGCGAATGGCCATGGCAGTGTCACGCATGCCCGCGTGGCTGCGGGTTACAAACAATAAAGGCCAAGGGCTTCAGCGATCCCTACGAAGGAAGGCAGGCGCATGCAGTCGTGTCAGCGGGCAGCAGTATTCATAATATAGGTTTTTGGGTCATATCGCGTTATTTATAAATGTGTGTTAACCCTCCACCACCCGACACGGCCAAATAGTAAAAAATGTGTCACGTTTTTCAAAGGACAAAATAATTCACTTCTTTAGCCCACCGGTGTGTTGAAGAGAGAATCAACAGCATTTTTAAATTTGAGTAGTCCGACGTTTCGCTGGTAGTTACAATCAGCTTCATCGGGCAAGAATGGTGAAGCTCTCCTGTTGCTCCCGGTCTTAAATAGAGCAGCAGCCGGGTAACGTCATCATTTAATTCAATCTGGTGCAGTGATTCGAGGCAAAGAGGGGGAGGGTATTGTAAGCAGTATGATTGTGGGAGAGATCTGAAGATTTGGTGGAAAAGATTTGGGCTTAGCAGGACAAACCGAAGCCCTGTGATGAAAGAGAACACGTGGGGGGGGGGGGGGGGATTCAGAAGCCAAGAGCCTAACAGGCCCCTGCCATCACGCAGTGTTTGTGGAGATGTCAACACAAATCTTCGCCGGTTTCACCACCGACTAAAAATAACTCTGGAAACACCACTGTGAAATTACTGGATCTAGTAACAATCTAGCAGTGGATTTAACCACGCACAAATATTGTTGAAAAAATCAAGACAAGATGATTTACTGCACAATTGAGTATTGAGGTGGTGCTCACCTCCTATTTCAGCTCTGAGCCAGTGGTGGACATTACAGATTTTTTTTCGGGAGCGAGTCTCTATTTTATTGTCCTTGGAGGTACGATGGGCTGAGCCACCCCCCCAACCAGAATTTAAACTCACAAACTTATTTTTGCGAGCCGCCCACTCCACTGCTGAGCCATTGGGCCGGTCAATAAAACAGAGAAAGCCGCGTGAGGAGCGAATGCAGCGCGCGGCGCCAGCAGCGCGGCGGGTCCGCGACTTACGTCGCTCTGCCGGTCCTGCGACGAGCTGCGCTGCGCGTCCTTGCCGTCCCCCCTGAGCGCCTCGTCGGCACCATTCCTCTCGCACGACTCCGCGAGTGCCTTCACCTGCAGCAACGACAAACGCTCATGACACGGTCGCCCAGCGCCCACTGCCCAGCACCCAACGCCCACCCCACTCCCCAACACACAGCACCCCCTGCACCTCCGATTAGCACGGTTGGCTACGTGCGGTGTGAAAAAAGTACATACATACAGCACTCATGTCCACTGGTCCCGCTGTGAAACGCTCATGTCAATGTCTTCTGCTTCAATCTCAATGGGATTGTTTTTGCTCCGATTTAGATTTGAGTAATAAACCACATTTATATTGCACCGCTGTTACAAAGATTGTAAGGCGCTTGCTGGTTCAGTAATTTGTCCGAACTCTGCTTCCGAAACCAATCGAGAGCTGTGCTGGACTGGCCGCTTGTTGGCAGGAGGACCCCGGCTGACCGAGTTTCAGATGCTTAGTGTGGGCATACGGCTACCCCACACAGGCCCTCACGGCTTTCACGGCCTTCGCTTGCGAGGTTGGTGTGTCACCTGGCCATGGCGCGTGGCAAGCGAGGTCAACAGTGCCACCGATGGTTTGCTCCTTGAGCAGGCCTTGTAGTTGTTTCATTCTCTGTACTTTGTTTTGTTTGTCATTTTGATGACCAGGGTCAACCCATGTAAATGAGACTCTATCCTAGTCTCTTGAGTTCTCACCTGGTTACACAAATCAACTTGAAACAGGTCGATAATTAGACCACCGCGATGACCCCAGCCATCCGAGGTAATTATGAAAATCCCAGCAGAACTTTTCCATTTCAAGATATCGCTCCCCTTAGGAAGGATCTTAGGAAGTGCCTTTCACTGTCGTGCATTGTGCCAGTGTGTTTATGTGGCGGGTCGCGGGGTGGCAGTGGCCTCTGGGCACCGCTTCAGGGTGCAAAAGCACACGGGAAGCGAGAACGGGAGCCCTTCGTTTGGGACCAGCTGATCGCGAGTTCGCACAGAGACCGCAATGCGGTGGTGCCGACAACGATGCTGTTCATTAAAGTTGCACGTATCGTCTGCTTATGAGCAGCAAACCGCTGCCATTAATTGGGGAACGCTACGGCTGGGCCGCGTCACCGTGTTGAGTATTTAAAGCATCTGCGTGAGAGCTCGTGTCGGGGGAATTGCTGCAGCGCCATTGCCTTGGAGGTATCGACGTTTTCACATTACGTCTCACGCTATCTTATCTCGCAGCAGCAAATAAAGCATTTACAACCTCCAACTGTACACCCTAGACTCATAAAACACGAGCAATTTCCCCCACTGTTTAAAGCAGATAGTTGCACATTAGCAACAAGGCAGTGTAAGTGAGGCAATCTCATATCGCCGCCAATTTATGGGTCATAGTTAATGGGCAATCTTAAATTTGTCACAATCGAGTCTTGGTGGATTAAAGGCAATACAATAAACACAAGCTGTATAACGACGCATCAATAATAACGAAAGTAGAAATGACATTCCACCGATGTACGTTTCAAGTGAAACAACAAAAAACGTAACACAACAATCAAGAGGTTTTTTTTGTAACATTTTTTCCCTAAATTTAGTACACAGAGAGGAAACAAATGTCAGTGTGTAACAATGTACAAGTCCAGGGAGTCTCTGGGTGGCTCGTGCACTGAACGTGAGATGAGTGACGGCTCTGCCCCGGAGTTGAGAGGGGAGGAGAGCCGGTCTAGAGAAAGCGATCACGGCCAAGAGAGGAATCTCGTCGTCAAAGCACAAGGGGGAACACCACAATACAATGGGCAGCACGGTGGCCTGGTGGTAACACTCCGACACACAGACAGCAGCAACATTATCCCCTACTGCAAAATCTTGGCAGGACCTTCCTTAAAAAAAAGTCTCGGCACTCGGACGGTCGGGAGACAGAAACCGAGGATAAGGGGTAGAACAACCCCGATGGTTTACACGGGAGCCAGACTCTTATATCATTCTTGATTATATCATTCTTTTATTTATTTCAGGTGCGTTTGGGTTACATCCCTCCCCTCCCCTTGTCATCACCCCCCCCCCGCCCTTACTTAAAAAACTACCCCCTGCCCCTTTCGGTGGGGACCCCCGTCTGCTTTGGTGCAGCAGTAGGTTCGTTCTCCAATCTTTCTGCCTTTTATAACCGGATTAGTTTATGTTGAGGGTGTGTACGTGCGTCACAACGTGATGTATTCGGTCCATGCATTGCCTCAATAAAAAAAGTCTTGGGACTCAGTGAGGTTTCCCTGGCTAACACGTCATGGCTTACAGAGCCCAGCAGCCTCCGTTGTGAGCCACCGCGAGGGGGGGGGGAAGCCCCTCTCCAAACACACTTGGTCGCAAAAGCATGTGTGCTGAGAAGGGTACAAATATAAGTGTGTTTGGCAGCAAACCGTGCTCTCGTGCGGAACGCAACGCGGCCTGCCACAGTCAATAGAGACATTTAAACCCCGCACGCGCGAGTCGCTGACCTCTGGGCAAACACACAAAGAAGACCCCTTTGGTACAAATGTAAAGAATGTACGAGAATATACGAATGGCTAACGTGATCATTCATGGCCATGAAAGAAATACAACCGTGTAGATGTACCGTATTCAACAGTAAAGTAAAATTATCATTTTATCAAGTGCACACTCAATCTATGAAATGTATTAGCTACAGCCAGAAAAGCTCTTGTTAATTTATCACCCAGAGAAGTTATCCTAATTTATAATCTGCAAATAAAAATTATGCCGCAGTGCAGATGCGTTTCAACATCACGAACGACACCGTGGGTTAAACGAGAAGATCGTGACTACAGAAGGACTTGAAAGCAACGTAAAACACTCGGTAAATCCGGCATATATAATAATAAGCACCGAGGCAGTGGTGCTTTCTTGTTCAGAGCCCTGAGGCCGTGGTGGAAAACTTCATATGGCGGGAGCGAGTCTGTCCATAGGACAACCGCTCTCGACTTCACATCAAAGTGGCACTCCGTTTCATTGACCCCGGAGAAGATGACGGGCTGAGTCCCCGCGTCTCCTCGGTGGACGTCCTCTCGGATGCGTTTGCGCACCTGATCCCGCTCCCTCGCACTCGACCCTTTTCACCGTTACTCGGTTAGCCGCGAGTTTGGCGCTGCCATTCGGTGGCTCTCGGTGGGTTCTCGTTGACGCCCACGAGCCTGGGATCGGGCATCAGATCCGGAAGTAAATATTTTCCATGTGCAGCGTGGCCGCTTTCTACACCGCACGGTCTGCTTCTCATACGCAACAGGAACAAGATTTCGGAAAATTTGGTGACTTGCTTGAAAGCCAGACCCGATGGAAATGTATGGAGTATTGTTGACGAGAAGCCAAAACCTGCAAGAACTCGCGTCAAAGTGAGTCAAGGTAATTTTTACTGAAATGAGCATTGACGCATTGCTTATCTCCTGTTTATAGCCCTGGAGTGTCAGTGGTGGAAATCCCAGATACCGATGTGTGGAAATGGGCCTATGCACAAGACAACCACTCTTGACTACCCCACAAAGCAGTGCTGGTTTTATAAACCTCGGAAGAATGATGTGCTTAATCAACTCTCTAAACAGGGTGTGAACTCGCAAGCATTTTCTCGAGTCACACGGCTGGATACTCTCCCGTCCTGTATGGCAGATGTTGCTTATGGACTCTAACACTCTCTATATGGTGGGAGACGCTGTCATGAAACTATTTAAAAAAACTATATAAACTGTGTTCATTTACCAGGTAAGGTCCACTGAGCTATATAGGTCTTTTTCAGGAGCAACCTGAACGATAGCTCAACGAAGCGGCTTATCATGTGGAAATGTATTGCAAGCCCAATACTCTAAACGCGTGTTTCTAAAATGTGCAGGGAAAAACCGGAGGACCTGTAAAAAAATCCACGCGACCACGGGGAGAACGTGCAAACCCCAAATATACAGGCGTCACAGTCGAGATCGAACCCACCACCTCCTGTATACCAGGCGAGGCAGATAACATCTTGCCTGGGTTCGACAACTCTCAACTCCAGCCCTTGGCGTGTGGAGGTTGTAAGTTCTCCCCCTGTCCTGCATGGGTTTCATCTGGGTTCTCTGGTTTCCTCCCATAGCTAAGCAAACAATAAAACACATCCAACGTGATTAGCCATTGGCCAAATATCCCAATACTGAAAATGTACCTGCAAATTCCTCACCCGCGAAAACTTGCCAGGAACCTCGTGAAAAAGAGTAGTCTTGAGACTATGTGAGGCTTTCCCTGAGTAAACGTACGCAATCATGTTCAAAGTGCTGAATAACAAGTGGCGGGTAAAGGACGGCACGGCCGCTTGCGACAGTTACAAGCGCAAGACACCGGTACTTACAGATCGCCCAGAAGCAAAAACTCACGCGGCGTTAGCACCGCGAACCACAGGTACCGCGGCATGCGAGCGGAACGTCCAAGCGGATATCCATCTCGCCGTCACTACGAGCCGTGAATCAAGATAAACCGAGCCGCGCGTTCCACCCAGGCGGCAGCTGAAAGAAATAAGCGATAAAGCCATCGCCGCCGCCAGCAAGGAACGCACGTCGCGTGTGCGCGCCAGGCCCACAGCAGGCGCACGCACGTACATACACACACACACACACACGGTACTCAGAATGGGAAACGCTCTCTTTCGAGTTTGCTTTAAGATAACATCGATTACTGCGCACAGCCCACTCGACGGCAAATATTTCACAGAAGAGCCTGCGACAGCAGAAGAGAGAGCTCACGCTGCCAGGTTTCAAGTGAGCGACCGGCTCGGCATGAAGAGGCTCTGAATATTCACAGCACCGGAAGGGGTCCAGATCAAGACCCCCCCAGCAGTGATACCTCCTGCTGACGGAACATCACAGCTAAACCCCCCCCCCCCCCGTCCCTGTCTCTCCCAACAGTGCGACTGGGATTGGACAAACATCTCAATGCTGAAGAATCGCTCAATTGGGATATCGCACAGCAACAACTTGGAACCCTGCTGTGCAAAACTTGGCAGGACTCTCTTGAAACAGTCTTGAAACTCGGTGAAGGCTTTCCTGGGTAAATATGCGGAATCG